CATCGAGATGTATAACTATGAAAAATAACAATATTTTGAGTCTAAAAAAAGTGCATCTTACAACATATTATCTACACCATCCATTTTCAATATTTTCATATGTTTATAGATCTAATTGATTTCAATGATTTTTGGAATTTAGAATTTTATAATTAGATATAAAAATAGATTTTGAGATAATACTAAGAACATTTTACATTAAAATTATCTATTACGATAAAGTTTGAAGGTACACCTTAGTTGGAATGCTTAAGGTTGCAACCTTATGGAAACCACGCCAATTATTAGAAGGACATTGATTGATTTGAGAACTATTGTTTTTCTATGGTCCAGCATTCCGTTCTAACTTCCACCTTGTAGTGCTTGTACTTTTCCCACACTTGGAAGTACTGTTTAATAACTTACTAAGTGATCTATTTTCAAATTGCCAATCATAGCACACATGATCATGGATAAAATATTTGAAAATACAAAAAAGTATTAAATAATTTATAGATTTAAGAGTATTTTAACAAATGAAAAGTAGTTTATGGTTAGGAAGACACAGGACTACATTTAACTGTATTTTAACAAATGAAAAGTAGTTCAAGTGTAGGAAGACACATTACTACATCCACGTCCGCCCAGGGCATCACACATCCGTTTAAAAGATGTATACGGAATCGTGGTCTCTCCGAAATAGGGTAAAATCAACGGTTTAAATTTCTTTAAAAACTTCTCATTTTTACAAACTTAAAATTGATTTTTTTTTAACACATTCAAGATCTCCATGTCAAAGATTTTATATACCTAAAAAATAAGGTCCAAAATTCATCAAAAAAGTAGATCACAAATAGGAATCGCTGTTTTTATAAGGCCAAGGCTTTATGAAAATATATTAAAGCCTCATCTCGAAATTCTTGTCCAAAAGCACTTTACGGTGAAATTGATTTTCAAATATAATTTTCAATATCGACTATGAAATTTGAAGCTAAAAAAATGTTATAGATCATGCAGATCCAAGAATACTTATTTTTAGGGTGAAATTGATTGTGTAGATAATATGTTTTATGAAATACATTATTTTTATGGATTGAAATCTTTTTTTTTTTTTATGGTAGAACTGCAATTTTTGGTGTGTTTTGAGGGGAGGCTTTACTTGTTTAGATAGAGTTGCAGCCCTATCAAAACATTTTTCTTCATAAAAATTTTATCCCTTAACGAATGGAAAATGTTTTGATAGGGCTATGTTTATGCCCGAATTTGTGCCGATCCCTGAGTGAGATCAACTCAAATCTCTTGCAAAGCAAATTAATTTTAAAAATCAGTAGAGAGAGTATGATCGCTCAAATTGTAGATTTAGGGGCTTCACAAATCTTTACATTCCTGGTTCTCCTATAAACCTACCGGCAACACCAGCTCCATAATCCATCTATATGTCCTTGAAAAGCTTCTTAATTAATCTAAAAAATAAATAAATAACCAAAAAATAAAATTAAATAGAAAAAAATAAAATAGGAAATAAAATAAATAAATAATAGAGAGAAAAGACCACATACCTGAAAATCTCAAAGTTAGGACTTGTATCAGGATCGCAGGTTGATTTACACATTTTGATGTCTTCTCTTGCTTTATTGAAGCATGGCTCTAAGCTATTCGATCTAGGAGAACTTGTTCCTAGGATTTGATCTTAATTTTAGGGAAATTTTGAGTAGATCTGAGTTTAGGAGCTTTAGCCTAAGAATTTTTTCCTAATTTTCTAAAGGTTTAGGATTTTTTCTTTTTTCTAGGTATTTTGGACTAATTTTTTAATATTCTAGGCTTTCTAAGATTTTTCCTAATTTTTTAGAGGATTTTTCTAATTATCTGAAATTTTTGGAATTTTCTTAATTATCAGGGCATTATCCTAATGATTTTTCTAACTAATTTTTGGGCTATTTGTCATGTGATTCTCCTGAAAATTTAAGGGGGTATTTATGGGTTAGGCTAGGGCTAGTGCTAAAATAATTGCTCTAATCTTCTAGTCCTATTTTGATTAGGAATAAGCCAAATTTTTGAATTTTCTAAAATATTTCTAACAAAAAATGGACTTAAAAAACCAATTCAAAAAGGACTTGGATGCCCTGATCCCATCGGACTGCCCGATGCATGGCCCATCACGTGGCCCAACATGTCGCTTGGCGTGCGGCCCCTACACGATGTTCTGTGTCTCACACATGGACATTTTCGTAATTTTGGCCCTTTAACTTCGATGGCGTATATCTTTTGATCCTAGGTCTGATTTGAGTCATTATTAAACCGTCGGAAAGCTCTTGGGATCTACTACTAGTTAGGATAGGTTTAGTATAATTTTGAAACAATTAAACTGGGTTCTAAGTTGACTATGGATCACTAGGGCTTATGTGGTTATAAAGGCTCAAAATCATGATTTTCAGCAATGCCCTTAGCCAGAATATCCAGGGGGTGTGTATAGGCTGCAACCCTATTAAAATAAATAAACTCACCACTATTGCAGTTCTAGCACCAATTGATTATCTCGAACCGGACTGTTATTGTACCATATTATCTAACTATCAATTTTGCCTTAAAAATAAGTGTTCACATATCTTCAAGATTTATATTATACTTTTAGCTTTAAATTTTATAGCCGTTGGAAATTGATTTTAGAGTTGTCATGAAAATTTTCAATGCCGAAGGTGCTTGCCAGATAAAGCTTCAAAGTGAGGCTTTTCTTTGTTTTCACGAAGCCTAGGCCTTATAGAAATTCCGTCCTTAACAAATATCTTACATATTAATAACCTAGATAAAAGATTTCTTCAGTAGCAGGCAAGAAGTAAGACTCGTTTTCTTGGGTAGATAAGTGGAGAATACATGCTCCTATCCATTTTTAGAAATAGTTAGTGGCTTTTGAATGCCTCAGAAATCAAGACCGGTACCTGAGGTTCAGGAGGTGCTACGATGATCTCAACACCGATCCCTATAAATCTAACGCTCAAGCTTTTGCCACTTGTCATCTCAGCGAGCAATCAAGTTGTCGATGAGACTGTTCCCCCTCTATGTTTCACATACCCCCACTCTCCCTCTCTCTATTTTCCTCACTCTATGTATCACATGTTCCTCTCTCTCTCTCTCTCTCTCTCTCTCTCTCTCTCTCTCTCTCT